ACTGCTGCCCGGGGAGCTGGCCAAGCACGCCGTGTCCGAGGGCACCAAGGCCGTCACCAAGTACACCAGCTCCAAGTAAATGTGTTAATAGGCACTGTCAAACCAAAGGCTCTTTTCAGAGCCACTTACGCATTCATATAAAGAGCTCTAATCCTGAGTACTGCCGTAATGTATAGGGTAGAATGAGGCTCTGTTCTTAGGGAAACTGCTTTACTATTCTTTTTCAGTTCATTCGCTCATACTGAGACAGTAAACAGAAGATAAGTGGTCTTAAATCAGCTTAGTGCTGAATTTTATATTTTCATTCCTTTTCTCACTTTCTCAGGTGAGTAGTTAGTAATGCTGCCTTATATTATTACCTGGTTGTCCTTACATGCAGAATTTCCCAATTTGTCAATCTGACATCTGAAGTTGATGTGCTATAGTGTTTCTTTGAATATCTATAGAACCTCTGCTCAGTAAAGGAGCTTTTTTTTCTCCTTCAAGTCTTTCCGAGATGTTCCTATTTTCTGTGCTAAAGGCGGCAAAGTTTATGTATACTGCAATTTATTTTCAATTAGGAAATCTAGAGAGAGTGGAAGGATAGAGTTAAGAGGGATGTTCCTGTAATTCTAACAATGGGTTGCACGCCAGTAGCAGTAATTGGTGTCAGTTCCTAGTTTGCCTGGGCCGTCTATCCAGATTGCATTTTACACTCCTAGAATTATTACCCTGCCCCACAGAATTCAAATGCTTAACCCCTACCAGTTCTCCCATACTAAGATTCTTGTAACTGCCTTTTTTTTGTGTGTATGCCTGGAGCCTTACACGTGGTTCTTGTTTCTTTCAGTTTCTGAAACAGATCAGCTAGGGTTTTGCTCTTTATTCCAAAACTTGTTTACAACTTTTGTTAAATTAACTTTGTAAAATTAATGTTTTTGTTTTCCTAACCGAACATTGGCTAATGCATGATACCAAGCCTCCCGTGATTTAAAGCTTTTGCTTATTTCACTTTCAGCATCAGGCACTTTAATAATCATATTGCATTTTCTTTACCCTTAAGGAATTAAATCTTGGAAGGGTTTATCACCGTCCCTTCTCCCAAGTAGGTAAAGCATTTATTCCAGGAGACAGGAGAAGTGAGTTGCAGTTGAATGCAGCCTACAAGTGTCTGGGATATGGGGCTTCATCTGAACTAACCAAAGCTTTTTGATTGACTCAGAACACAATAAAAGATGAATAAATGCCCCAAGAAAAGAGACAGCCTAGTGCGGAGAGAGGAGATAATTCATGTAAAAGTACTTCCTAAAGTTGAGACATCTGTAGATGTGAAATGGCTTTTGAATTCTATCTGGACGTCTTTGAAAGTGTATTGGATCAGAAGACATTGGTTGGAATTTGTGTTCTGCCAAGTAAATAATCTTTGGTTTTCACACCCTCTGTGCCTTATAAAATCAGAAAATTACTAAAACCAACTCCATTGACACTTGTGAAAATAAATACAATAGTTATAATAAAAGCAATCATTTTAGGAGAATTTACAATTCATGAAGTTGTTTATGGACAGTATCAGGTAAACGTTTCTATTTCTCCACTTATATAATAAAGACAAGCTTTTTGAAGTGTTATTATAATCAGAAGTAACAATGATACTATACTGAGTGAAGAAACTGCTGCTCCATGAAAGTTGACTTTCTGCTATTACAGACACCCTGGACACTCACAAAAACGAATATGTAAATGGCTACTATTAAAATAAAAGCAATTTAAAAATTATGTGAGCCTGCTATAGAGACCGTACGTGCATCTATAGTGGTTTTTATATTTACACACTTAAATTTAAACTGATGTAGTTACTTTAAAGAATATTGACTACATTAATCTGTAATTCCTAACCTTATGTGGGTGCATTAAATTCCTGTTGGTGATCTGACAAATTATTTCAGGGGGAGGGTATATCTCAGTGGTAGAGTTTAGGCCTAGAATGCATGAAGGCCTGACTTAAATCCCCAGTACCTGCACTAAAACAACAAATAAGCTAATTAACCCCCACAAAGATGAAAAAAAAGAAGTTATTACAAATATGGTGGCTTCAGATAATTTATAATTTTGTTTTTTTTAGATCAACATTTGGGCACAAATCTCATTGAGCTAATATCAAGCTGTCAGAGGACCGCCATTCTTTCTGGAAACTCTTAAGAGTGAATCTTGTTCTTTGCCTTTTCCAGTTCCTAGAGGGTCATCCTTGTTCTTTGGCTTATGGTCCCTTTAGATTTCAAAGCCAGAAATCTCTGGCCACGTTCTCACACTGCCATCTCTGGTTTTATATTCTAATTTCCTCCTTTACTGTTAAGTGTCCTTATAATTATATTGAGTTCAACTGGATAATCTAGGATAATCTCCCTATTTTAAAGTCAGGTGATTAGCAACTTCAGTGCCATCTGCGCCCTTAATTCCTCTTTGTTATGTACACTAACATATTCACAGATTCCAAACATTAGAAGGTATACATAATTAGGGAGGTGTTATTCTGCATAGTAGCCCTAGCAGACTAAATGAAAGTATTTTTAGAATTTGATAAAATGTTATATACTTTCTGCTCCAAGAGAAGGAATATACGGATTCACTATTGTGTGTAATTTCTGGGTTTTATGAACTCCCCTGAAGCTCATATAAACCTGGTTTAGATATTTATGTCTGGGATTACAGAAAGCAAAAATTGACAATTTATAACAATATAAAATTCTCATATACAGATATCTGATATTTTTAGTTTTCATTCATTTACATTTTTCTTGTTGCTTTTGCTTTATATGTTTATTTTTTTGAATTTTTACATATTTTGTGAGTGTGATGTGTTGTGCATGTGTGTATTCATGTTTTGCTCTGCGAGTTAAAAGCCTCTTATTCATGACAGCAATTACACAGGAGTATAGAATATTACTACTTTTTTCATACCAGGGTTGAAATCCTAAAAATATTTTGAATATAAATTCTTAGCATTTATTTCAAATGAGAAGCCATTTATGGTGATTTATAACCTTAAGTAGGTTTATAATTGTAAAGAGAAAGGTGAAGTGTAAATTTTCCTGGCAATGGTATTTCTCTACATAGGACAAGACAGTGGTGGTGGTTAACTAAAATTACGTGTGATTTTTTTTTTTTCATTTAAAAAGTAGGATTCTTGCTGACCCAGGTAAAAATACGTAAAACCAACCTCAGGAAAAAAAAAAATAATAAGGGAGAGGCAACAAAATATCTAAAGCACATTTATTTTCTGGACTGCTAGTGTCTATGAGCCCCATCATGGTATTTGGCAATGGTCTAACTTTTTAGGCAAGCTTTGGAAAAATCCTAATATTAAATTGCCCTGTCCTTAAGCCTGTGATGTTCGTTTTTCAACTTCCATGCACATCAGTTGTCCCACTACTATTAATATTTAGGAGTCCTATTGCTTTAGCAAAATAAATGAGTTACACATTTCCTTCTTATCACGTCACTAACAGAAGAGGTGCTGCCAAGTTTTAAGTCAGTTCATGGAACTAGTGTGTAAGGTACACTATGTCACAGGAGGTTGAGTGATAGTCACATGTCCAATGTCCACAGCTGGCCAGCCTTCTAGCCAAAGTGAGTACCCTATCACTAACCTATAATGAATATTTGCTTTCAACGGATCAAAAGGTCTGTGTATTCCAAGGTTTTAACACCCCAAAGCAGCAACTTTAAGTTTCAACAAAGTAAACAAAACCTGTTCTACCAGTGCTATTAAACATAAGTGATTACAATTCTTATGCTGAAAAAAGTGGATGCCTCTTAGAGACTTTGGGGTTATATAGGAAAACCTTTTATTCTTTGCGATTATTTGGAGCTGGTATACTTGGTGACGGCCATGGTGCCCTCGGACACACCGTGCTTGGTCGACTCCCCGGGCAGCAGTAGGCGCAAGGCCTTCTGGATTTCCCGGTACGTGATGGTCGAGCGCTTGCAATGTCCCAGGCGCGACGCCTCGCCCGATGCGCTCGAAGATGTCGATGACCAACGAATTCATGATGCCTATAACCTTGGATGAAATACCAGTATTAGGATGTACCTGCTTTAGCACCTTGTAGATGTACACAGAGTAGCGGGCCTTGCGGCTGCACATGCGCTTCTTGCCGTCCTCCGGCGTCTTGGTCATGGCCTTCTTGGAGCCCTTCTTCAGAGCCAGAGTGCACTTAGTTTCTGGCATAAGCGAACACAAAATACACTACTCAGCTAAAGAAAAAAAGCTGGGACTTGTCTACAACGCTCATAAAATTTGTAGATCTCCTGAGCAAATACAGTGTTTAAAAGGTTACACTTCGATTGAATACATTTTTCCACATTGGAAGCCGGTATGCAAATTAGGTGACTCTAGTTCTTCTTTTTAATTGGCTGAAAGCGTAAAGATTGTTTAGCCAATCAAACATCTGAATTTACAATTCGGCTTGCAACTATAATTGCTTCTCATTTGGTAAGAAATTGTGTTCTGTTCTTTTTCTTTGTTAGTCTTCGTGAGATTGCTGAGATGTCAAGACGTGGAAAACAAGGTGGTAAGGCTCGGGCCAAGGCGAAGACCCGCTCTTCGCGGGCCGGGCTCCAGTTCCCCGTGGGCCGAGTGCATCGCCTGCTCCGCAAGGGCAACTACTCCGAGCGGGTCGGGGCCGGCGCGCCGGTGTATCTGGCGGCGGTGCTGGAGTACCTGACGGCCGAGATCCTGGAGCTGGCGGGCAACGCGGCCCGCGACAACAAAAAGACGCGCATCATCCCGCGCCACCTGCAGCTGACCATCCGCAACGACGAGGAGCTCAACAAGCTGCTGGGCAAAGTCACCATCGCTCAGGGTGGCGTTTTGCCTAACATTCAGGCCGTGCTGCTGCCCAAGAAGAGCGAGAGCCACCATAAAATCAAGGGCAAGTAAACTGTAATACTTGGATTTTTGGTCTTTTAAAAGTCAACATTAACCAAAGGCTCTTTTCAGAGCCAACCACAGTCATTAAAAGGGCTTATCGTTATGCGTATTTAAGCAGGTACCTGAAACTTTTCAGCACAGTATGTCAATCTGGAAGATGTCAGTATTTAAACTCCTGAGAAATCCCAAACTACTCTAGTTTAAGTTTATGAAACTACAATTCCTTTCAACTAAGTAAAGGATTTAGACAGATCTTGTATCACAAGTAATTAAGCTGATCACTGTAACAGGCACTCAGAATTGTAAACCCGAGAAAAAGACAATGGGTAGAATGAATGGTAAGTGTTGATAGTTCAGATGCAAATCTTGTTAGTGACCTACAGATTCTAAAACCACTCCTTCAGTACTGATGGTGAAGGGGAACTGTGTTGAATGTTGCCAATCTTCAACTCTACTGAACTGGACCTTAATCAATTCTAAATGGGTATACAATACTTGGTATACTTGGTATCCTAGAGTCAAGTCATTTAAGGCAGAGCTTAACACGGTTCAGCATGACTTTTACAGGATGCACAGTACCCTGTATTATTTACATCTGATTGAATTTTTTTAAACACCATTTTACACAACGCTCGGTTGAAATTGTGAATCGTAGTTGGGTGCTTTTATGTGAGGATGTTACAGTTAATGAAAAGTAAACGTGTTAATGTTATAGCAAGTGTGAAATAATTCTGTGTTAATTGTCTCAGTGCATTCAGAAAAAAAATAGAGGGTTTGACTTCTGGGAAGATAAAGTCGTCTTCTCTAATAAAACGTCTCACATAGTTGGCTTTGAAATCTTGCAGGAAGGAGTGAAGAGACTGAGGCCTGATGTATCTGGATTTTCAGTTGAGGTAGAGAAGCCCGAGGTTATAATCAGAACCTCCAGAGTTGGGTATAGTTCCCTCCAGTTTGTCACTGTTAATCCAGCCTGGGCTTCATGACAGACTTAGAAGAGGATTCTTTAAGAAAACAATAATTTCTAAAAGGTGGTAGGTACTTTTCTCCTTTCTCTTTTCAAAATATGGCTCCAAAGAATCCTAAGACATGTGATCACATCACAAGATATATAGGTGTAAATCTTTTACTTTTGTAAATTCTGAAACTTGTATGTCTTTAAAATACAATGCATCTTAACCCTAGAGATTTCTTCCTCTTCCCGTGGCCACAGCACTCACCCCAATCCAGAAAAGTGACACTGGCACAGAATGGCTTGCAATGCAATGCAAGGTTCCATCCAGTGAACAGCTATGAGCAAGCCACAGTAAGTCTTATGGTAGAAGACTCTTTGTTCAGTGGGCCTGGTTTTGGGATGACAGTGTTCAGATTTCTTTCCAAATTCTGCTTTCTTATGATCTCTAGACCCCTAAACTGATGGTTCTCAATCCCATCAGATTCAACTGAAACCTTTTCCTGTAACAAATACTTTACCAACTTTAGTAACCTGAAATGAAATTTACAGATAGTACAACCCACCTAAGCATGTCTTAATTGTAATACATAAGGGAGAAATAAAACGAAAATATGCTATTTTTAAAATATCAAAATTAAAAAGAATAATCAATAAATTGATGTGAAATTTGCCTTACTAAACTTCAATGAGGGTATAAAAATCACCTGGCCAATCCCATCTAACTCGCCTTTTCAAAACGTTGATCAAAAGAAAGCCATTTTCAGGTGCCAATATTAAAATACATATATTTTTTACAAACAAGATACAGCATTGTAATAATTTGTTTTAAATTCAACGGAGAAAAACCAAAGAATATTTTAAAGAAACGGCTTAAAAATAGAGGCGAGTAAGGATTGAAAACGGTCTCTCAAAGGGAGGTTCATGTGATCAGAGAGTGAACCTTGCTACCAATACCTTCACTGTGAGCAATAAGGAACATGTGCCTTGTCCAATCAGAACGGGACTCCCTTTATATATATGGGTAGACGGAGCTTAGGCTTTCATTTTTCTATCAGCTAGCTGCTTTTTCGGAAGTTTGTTATGGCTCGCACCAAGCAGACGGCCCGCAAGTCCACCGGCGGCAAGGCGCCGCGCAAGCAGCTGGCCACC